ATGTATGTGTGTGTGTGCGTGTGTGTGTGTGTGATCCTTTACGTGATCAGCGCGTGAGTGTGTTAAGGTGTGGCACATTTATCCATAAATCATTTTTTTTTTTTTCTCCGGCAGTATTTACACAACCAACGAGAACTTATGTATTTATCTCTTAGATATTTATATAAATATGTATTAAAGTTAGTTCGTTACACACAGAATAACATAATCATATCAAAATACAAGTGTCTATTTAGACTTATATAGAATACCTTGTCTGCAAGAGTTGTAAGTCATGTTATTTGACTTACATCACTTCTGCCGTCAGCTGTCGTTATTAATGTTCTTACGATATGGAGTTGCGATAACATTAATGATGATAACTTATGATAGTGATAGTGATATGATAACACCTGTGATAGTGAGAGTGATATGATAACACCTGTGATAGTGAGAGTTATATGATAACACCTGTGATAGTGATATGATAACACCTGTGATAGTGATTGTGATATGATAACACCTATGATAGTGATGTGATAACACTTATGATAGTGAAAATAACGTTCATATTAGCAATATGAACATGATATCACTCCCACTATTTCTGAAGATATTGATAAAAATATTACGCATGAGAATGGGAATGACTAAGATAATACATACCATAAAATAAAAGCAAACAACAGCAGAAAATAACATGAATAAGAATAATTATGATGGCAATGATGATGAACACAATATCATAAAACTTAAATAAAACAAACAAAAAGTATTCATTGCTATATTACAAACAATGATAATCATAGAAATAGTAGTAAAATAATAGCGATAAAGATGATGATGATGATAATAATAATGATAATAAAAATCATGGTAATAGTAACAATGATAATAATAATTATGATAATAACGATAATAATAACAAAAATGATGTTTATACTAATAATAATAATGTTAATAATGAAAATAATAAAGATAATGATAATGATAATAGTACAAACAATAATACCTATAATCACAAAAAAGTAGCAGCAAAAACAACAAAAATAATAATAACAATAATGACAATTGTAATAATAATAATGATATCAGTGATAATAAAAGTGATAATAACAAAAGAAATTGTAATAATAATAGTAATAATGATGATAACAAGAGCGATAATAATGATAATAGTAATAATTATAATGAAAATATCAATCACACCAAAAGTAATAGAAAGATAAAAATATAAATGACAATGACAATAATAATAATAATAATAATAATAATAATAATAATAAGTATAATAACAATATTGATCATGCTAATGATACTGATAATCTAAAATAATGACAATAATGAAAATAGTAATGATAATAACAGTAATTATGATAATGATAATCATAATGACAATGATAATAAGAAACATTAATGATCATCATCATAATAATAATCATAATGATAATGATAATATTCATAATAATGATATTATCAATAATAATTGCAATATTGATAATGATAATAATAACAATAATAATAATAACAATGGTAATGATAATGATAATGATAACAAGAATGATAATGATGATAATGATAATGATAATTATCATTATCATTATATTAACAAAGATAATATAATGATAATGATGATAATGATCATAATAATAATGATAATAATAATAGTAATGATAATAATAATAATAGTAATAATAATGATATTGATAATGATAATGGTAATGATAATAATAATAATAATAATATCTGACTTAGGATCTGAATTTCTAAATCAATTTCCACAGGGTGCCCATAGGGAGTATGTGTCGAACTTGGCTATCGATAATAATAATGATAATAATAATAATAATAATAATAATAATAATAATAATAATAATAATAATAATAACAGCAATAATAATAATAATAATAACAAAAAAAAATAATATACATAAAAATTATCTTACTGTAATAATGATAATGATAGTAATAATAATAATGAAAATGGTCATAATGACAAAAACAATAATGATGATAATAATGGTAATAATATTATCGATAATCATAATAATAATAAAATCACAATCAAATTAGTAATGGCAATAAAACAACAATAATGATAATAATGATGATTATAACAATAATGATAATAATCATAATGAAAATATTGATAATTATAATATGATAATAATAATACTGATAATAACAATAATTATAATAGTGATGATAAATAATAACGAAAATGATAATAACAACAATAATAATAATAATAATAATAAATAATAATAATAATAATAATAATAATAATAATAATAATAATAATAATAATAATAATAATAATAATGATAATAATAATAATAATAATAATAATAATAATAATAATAATAATAAATAATAACAATAATAAGGAAACAATATAACCGGTAATAATAGGAAATAATAATAGTAACAGTAATGATAATACAGATAACGGTAGTAATAATAATGGTAATAGTTATAGCAATAATAATTATGATAATGATAATCATTATAATATTGATGATGACGATGATAACAATAATAATTAAGAAATAATGATAAGTATAATGATTATGAAAAAATAATGAAAATAATAACAGTAATGATGAGAATAACATTAACGATAATAATAATAATGAGAATGAGAATAATGATAATAATATTGATAATAATTACAACAATAATGATAATAAAGTTATTGACTATAACAATGAGAATGAAAACAATAGCAATAATGATGATAATGATAATAATAGCAGTAGTAGTAATAATGATAATGATTATAATAACAATGATAATAATGATAATGATAATGATATTAATAATGTTGATAATAATAATCATAATTATAGTGATGATAATAACAATAATAATAATAGTGGAAATAATTATGGTGATAATAATAATAATGATAATAATAGAAAAAAATAACAATAACAATAATAATGATAATAATAACAATAATAATAATTATCATTATTATTATTATTATTACTATCATTACTATTATCATAATAGTAAAAATAATGATGTTAAATACTTCTATTATCAAAAATAACTATAATGAAAAAATAATGATATTGATAATATCAACAATAATGATAATCATAATGATGATGACAACAATACTGATAATAATAATGAAAATAATAATGATGATAGGAATGAGAATAACAATGATAATGATAATAATAATAATAATAATAATAATAATAATAATAATAATAATAATAATAATAATAATAATAATAATAATAATAATAATAATAATATAATAATAATATAATAATAATATAATAATAATAATAATAATAATAATAATAATAATAATAATAATAATAATAATAATAATAATAATAATAATAATAATGATAATAATAATAATAATAATAATAATAATAACAATAATAATAATAACAATAATAATAATAATAATATTAGTGATAATAATAACAATAAGAATAATAATAATGATAATGATACTTATAACAATAGCAATAGTAGTAAATATAATGATGATGATAACATCAACAGCAAGTACAATAATGATAATAATAAAAACAATGATGACAATAATAATAATAATAACAACAATGATGACAATAATAATGATAATGATAATTATCATTATCATTCTTATTACTATTATTATTATCATTATGATTATATGAATGATAATGATGATAATACCAATACACTGGAAACGTCCGTAATCAATAATAATAGTGACATTAATAATAATAATAATACTCCTTGGCGGAAGTAATGAAATGATGCAATCTAAAAAAAAAAAAAATCCTGAATCCAGATCTTGTTCCGAATCCAATCATCAAAAATTAATGGAATCTGAGTCACGCCAACGCACATCTCTGGTTAAATATTCATAATCTGTTCACAACTTTTTTTCCGGAGTTTTCCTGATAACCAGTTCTGCCGAAGACATAACTTCCCTGGTGGAGGAAGGGATAATGATAACAATGATGATGAAAATAATGATAACGATATAATGATATTGATAATAGTAATGATAATGGTAATAATGACTGTAATGATAATGATAACAATGATGATGAAAATAATGATAACGATATAATGATATTGATAATAGTAATGATAATGGTAATAATGACTGTAATGATAATGATAACAATAATGATGAAAATAATGATAACGATATAATGATATTGATAATAGTAATGATAATGGTAATAATGATTGTAATGATAATGATAACAATAATGATGAAAATAATGATAACGATATAATGATATTGATGTAATAATAATAGTAATAATGATTGTAATGATGATGACTGATAAAGAATAAACATGATAATGATGATATCAATAAAAACAATAGTAATAGTAATGCTATAATCATTAATATAATAATTGTGTGAGTTTCATTTATGATCATTTTTATCACTTTCGTTCATTTTATAATGATTATAATCATTGACACGATGATAATGATATTGATAATAAAAAGGACAATGATAGTAATGTCAATAATAACAGAAAAGATAATAACAAAGAATAACAATATAATAACAAACAATAACAATAACAACAACAATAATAACAAAGTAACAATGATAATGACTATAATGTTATTGGAAATACAGGAATAATAGTGAAGAATTAAGATAATAATGATAAAGAAAGACCACTACGAATAACAATACCATTAATAACAATAAAAACAATAACAATGATAAAGGTAAAATAATAAGAACAATGATGATATTTGCAACAAGACCAATAATATGAAAAGAAATCAGACGATCAATTTTAATAATGGTAACAAAACATAACATTCCAGACACATAGACCTACACAAGAAGATATAAACCCACGATTCAAAAGCAAAACAAAACAAAAAAACAATAACAAATATATGCAAAACCTACCAATCAAACCACATGATATATACATAAAAAAACGCAAAACTTACGAACCGAACCACATGATACATACATCTAAAAACATTAAAATTAAAAGCAGAATGAAAAGAAAATAACCCAC